AGTAAATTAACAAGTAAAGTTATCAAATTAACAATTAATGTTACTGATTAATTATTTGACAAACGAATATAATTTATAAGTAATATTAGTAAATTAATAAGTACGTTAAGAAAATTAACAACTAATAATTTTACATAATACGTGAAGGATATTTGGTCTTTTTACCATCAATTTTTTTTAATATTTATCCCCTATATTGAATTGAAATTTCAAGATATTTTTGAACCCACATGAAATTAAATATCTTCTCTAATTCTTAACTAAAATGCTTTTTTTCTTTCGCTGATCACATCTATATATAATTAAAGGAGCTTATTTCAAGTTTGAAAGGTTTAAAAACATTTTGATATACAAGTCAAAATTTAAAAGAATGGTCCATGTATAATTTAACTATATATATATATATATAAAAGCAGAACTAGATATAGTAGTTGACTTATGTACAAATCATGAGTCCGAAACTTGTGATTCTTGAATAATTAGTCATTACTGGCCAGTTTAACGCCAGATACTCCTATAAATCCATATGATAACTACAAATAAAAAGGAATCAAAGGTAGTTTTTAGAAGGTGTTGTATTTTCCCTTATTAGCTCATGTATATAAATCACTTCTAATTATTTTATCAAAATTAAGGAAATATGATTAAATTATTGATTATTGATATCGTCATTAAAAATAAAGAAAGTTTCTAGTTTACTTTTATTGAACGCATCACTTTTAAAAACATTCACTTTCATATGTAAACTTTTACTCCATTAAAAAATTGTGAAAGAATAATACTTGAATAAAGTAATTAATGATTCATCTTGTTTAATATAAAGTGACTTATAAAAAAGACGGTTAATTTTTTTAAAATTAATTTATTTATACTCCATCCATCCAATATAATAGAGCATTTTTTTTGAAGTATCATTAAAAAATATAAGATATTTTAGGTCTTTTATGATGTAATTAATACAATTTTTTTTTTCAAAATGCACCCTTAAGGATATTGTACTTGTTCCTAACTATAACTTAAAGTATCTTCTACAAAGCTTACTTGATCCTATATATAGGGTATTATGTAGTTTTTATAATTTCTTTTTCAACTATACCCTTACTTAATGAGAGAATATATTGAAAAGATGAAAAATTTTTAAGATGTTATGGTTTCACCTAATTTTTTTATATCTATAAAATAATTATCAATGTCTTATATTGTAGTTTAGAAGGGGAGGAAAAATTAATAAAGTTTTCTAAATATAAAAGATAATATATTAAATAAGAATAAATAACTAATTATGAAAAGATTGTATACTTTTAAATTTCATTAACTAACTTATTAAAATATGTAAATTAGTTAAAAATATTTTATAATACTAAATAATGAACGACTATAATATAGGGGCGAGTATATGAAATATAAGGCATATAGCAAAGAGGATGAAGTTGACTGGGCAAAAAAAAAAAAAAAAAAAAACGGAGAGGATGTAGTTGAAGAAATAAAACAAATAGAGGGGAAACGGTGTGGAGCCACATAAGAAGAGAATAAAAACGCATTGTCGTTTTGCCTGCTTTTGCATTTAATGCCGTATGGCAACACCAGGGGGCCCCATTCCCTCGGCCTGCCATCTTCTCTCTCTGTCTCTCTCTCTCTACTGCGAGAATAAGCTTCAAAGTCATAATTATTCACGGCCATCACCGATCTCCCTTGAAACGAGCCTATTCAAATCATGCATGAACATTTTTTTTTTTGGAGCTAATCGGAAGATTTTAACTCTGAGTTTCTATATATTTACATCTCATCGTTTTAACTAATTAAACTGATCCAAATAACTTATTGGTTAAGTTTATACTTAACTTGAGACATTGTGTTTAGTCAGCTATAACTCATTCCACAATAATCCAATAATACTTGTTGCTAGCTAGAGCGAGATATATATATATATATATATGTATATATATATTATAGCCACATTGGTAGATATTTTCGTTTGGAAGCAAAATCGTCACACACACACACGATTATCTGGCTGGATTATATTTAAGTATTGACCGGCTCAATTGGAGATAGCTTTTACATAAGTTTTTGTGCATTTATATGGACTTGTAAACATATTTGTTTCTTACCTCTTTGCATGGAGGGAAATAGAGATCGTGAGAGGTTTATGTGTATTTTGGGATCATCAAACATAGCCACTTATCATTGATCTATCACTAATTAATTGATATATTATTAATTGAATTCTCCTCTTTTTAGTAGGTAGTATTGTGATATCTAGGAAACTCACGGAAAGAAATACAAGTTGAGGCTCTGCCTAATATACTAATCATGTCATTATGTGTAATGTAAAATATCACAAATTATTCATAGAATATTAATTAGGTGAAGAGACTGATAGGCATTGAAAATAGTGAAATGGAATATTTGCTAAGCTACGAGGTTTTGAGTTATATAATGCTTAGGTTTAATCTAATAATAATGAATATTAGAATAAATATAAATTAGCAAAAAATACTATTGTTGATCCTTATATTTTTGGTTGATATTAATTTATATATATTTTTAATTATTTCAAGTCCCTTAAGTTTCATTTATCTATTATCCCTTCAGGGACATCTGATAAAACTTTAGTCTCTATATTTTTAAATACAAGGATTTTAATCTTGGTTAGCACATGTGCATAAACTTTGTTACTTTATGTGCTGACTTGTTAGTAATTATGATGTGTTGCATAAGAAAAGAATTATGATTTGTTGTATAAAACGAGAGTAGAAGCCAAAAAGTTAAGCTGGACATTATATTATATCAGGTTCCTTAAACATGCACGCGTTGAAACTTCAAAAAGGAAAAAACACACAACTGGGGCATATAGATAGTAAAGATTAGTAACAGATATTCATATAATGTCCAACTCCAACAACAACAACAACAACAACAACAAGCCTTTATCCCACTAAGTGGGGTCGGCTACATGGATTGCAAGACGCCATTGTGCTCTATCATTTATTAAGCTTTTAGATAATGTCCAACTCCAACTTAATAACAAAATCAAACAGAGTTATGTGTACATACACGTCAACAAATTTATCCCCATCGATGATGAGAAAGACCAATGTTGCAAACAAATGAAATTTATGAGACTCTGAGCAACGAAAAAGGTATAGAAATTAATACCAACAAAGTATGGGGACCATCGGATACATTTCCCGATAAATTAAAACTAACTAGTTAAAGAAGATCTTTCAAATATTTTATAATAGAGATAGGTAGATATTAAAAAAAAGGGGTGGGCCCCGCTGTCATGAGGTTCAATTCACCCCTTTATCAATCTTCTTTTCTAATTTTATCTCCTATAGATTCCCATTAGCAGACTCTCACAGGGTCCAGAGTTTTGTAATGGTTAGTTAATTCTCTTGTTCATATATATTCTCGAAATAAATGACAAAATTTCCTTTTACACACCGACGCAGCTGCATTATTAGTCGAGATTTTTTTTTTTAATTCTATCATTCGGTATCTTGGGAATCACGAGGTTTAACAACCTCCTACCCAAGTTAATATAAATCTTTATTATATGGGATTATTATTACAAATGGCAGCCTCACCAATACATTAAGGATGTTTTTGGCAAATTTAGTGATCGTGACTGTTTATCTTAAAACTTGAACTTGAGATCATAAGATGAAATAATTTAACTTTTTTAACTAATTAAATCAAGTGCCCCTTAGTGCATTAGTCGAGATTTATCTTTAGTGAGCATATTAAATGTAAATAAAATATTTTTTTTTGACAAATCATCAGTATAAACACATAATACGTAATATGAACACTCACTCACTGCTGTGTTATCGGTTAAGTGCCTTACGTTAAAGACAAAAAAAAAATCTCTTAGAAGAGGCTTTATAGTAGAGACCAGAATAGTATATATATTTGTCTGTAGATTAATCATCAGGGAACACATAGTACATAATATGGACACACACAAATGCTGTGTTATCGGTCCCTTAATTGATTGTCAGTTTAGAAAATATATCCTAGCATGCAGCATCCAATTCAACTCTATATGTCAAGCACTTGTCCGAACTAGCTAGCTTTTATCCAGCTATTTTATTCCATCTTCCATTAATTAGGGTAACAATATCAATAATATATTTTTTGTTTGCATGGAGCATCCAATATCTTCTTCCTCAAATTAAATTAACCCAAGGAGACTTAATAGGGGCCATACTCATTCAAATCGAGTTGGAACATGAAGGTTTCGGGCAAAAAAACTATCACCAATGCTATTATATTTTTAGGGATCAAACTTGAGACATTTGGTTAAGAGGATGCAATTTTTTTATCAGTTGAACCAAGGTGTCAGAAGGTTAAAAAAATTATTTATTAATTTAAATGATTCTCTAAGAGACCCTCTTGACTTTTTGGGGAAAAAAAAGAATATTCCAAAAGTTTTCAACTACCATAAAAATTGAAGCCATTAAATTTAAACCATCGTGCCTGGTTTTAGAGTCTCTGATCTTTTCCAATATTTCTATTTTCTAGGCAATAATAACTACCAAATTAATGTTTTCCACAAAAAGGAAAAGCACCCACAGGCCACAGCACACACATGAGACGTATATTATATATATTGTCCCACCACATTTTTTCTATAAAAATGATTGGTTTAAGATGTGCAAGGGCATTATCTTTTTCATGTGTGTGGCTACAAATCTGTTTCTCTTTGGATCGCTCCAATTAGGGTAGCCCCAGGCTAGCGCAGCACTGCAAACGGTAAAATGAAAAAAGACAGTGAGAGAGGAGGGGAGAAAAAAAAAAAAAAGAAGAAGAAGAAACAAAGATAGAAAACAGAAGCTGTGCAGATAGGGTTTTGTCCTAAGTATGGGGTCAGCGTTGGTGCATTCCACACACTGGTTTTAATTAGTTTTTTGTCTTTTTAACTTGTCTTCTTTGATGTCTCATGAAGTCACGTGAATGACTTATATTATATACCTATTCACGGCTTTTTTGCTCTGTGTTTCTCTCTCTCTCATCCATTTGATCATTCATCTCTCTCCTTCTTCTAAACATACTTTGAGTTTCACTATTTTCCTTCTATATAACTCTGAACCCTTTTCCCTGTATCTCTCTCTCTCTCTCTCTCTCTCTGATTCCACCTTTACTGGACAAAAAGAAGATCATTGCACCTACACTGACCCATCTCTCTCTTTAGCTAGCTTGCTTGTTTGCTTGGTTTCTGTGTGTGTATGTGTATGTGTCATGATACCAACTTATCCTTATTCTCTTCCTCCTCCTCCTCCTATGCCTATTGTAGATCTTAATATTGTTGAAGATCAAGGCCATGATCTGATTTTTAGCCCAACCCACCAACCTTCTTCTTCTTCCTCTTCTCTATCATGCCCTATTCTCTTTAATCCCCAGGATCACGCAGGATATTCCTACTGGGAGTCCAATAACTTACAAAATGATCATGATCACGAGGTTAGAGTGTGTTGCTTCTGGATATGTGTGTGTTTGTGTGTATTTCTTTTCTGCGTGAACGGTTAATCATTCAATTCTTCATGTGTGATCTTATTTCTAGACTGGGAAGAATATTATTGGCTCAAGTGGATCATGGAATGATCCAGAAGATCATGAAAAGGGTGGTGTTGAGATCATCAGAAAGAGGGGCCTGAAGCTGAAGGTTTGGAAGAGATCAGAAGGATCAAAGAAGGAGGATGATGAAAATTATCATCAAACTGAGGATCATGATTCAGTGAAGTGGATGCCTTCAAAGATGAGAATGATGAGGAAGATGATGGCTCCTTCAGATCAAAAAGCTTCTTCTTCTTCTTCTTCTTCTGATATGAACATCCCACCTGTACTAGGCAACTCTCAGCAGATTATTAACTCAGAAGATCAGAATCAGAACCATCAGTCTACTCCAGGAACAGATAATAGTAGCAGCAGCAACAATTCTTCAACCCAAACTAACAGTAATACTCATCATCATCATAATAATATCACCGTTAGGGTTTGTGCTGATTGCCACACCACCAAGACCCCCCTTTGGAGAAGTGGACCAAGAGGCCCTAAGGTAATTTTTTTTTTTTGGGTTCCTCTTTCAGGATTCACTTGCTTGCTTGTTTTATGTCAAAGTACACAAGGCATGCTAAAAGTCTAGCTGCTCCACACACTCTATGAAAAGTCAAGATTCTGGTCTACTGAAGGGTCATAATCTGTTTATGTTATGTTTATTTGTACCTGTTATGCAAAGATCCTTAGCCTAAATTATCTGTTGTGTGTATTTCTTGAGCTTCTTGTTAGTGATATTAACAATTTTTTTAATGATGATTATTTTGGTGTGAGCACAGTCACTATGCAACGCTTGTGGGATTAGACAAAGGAAAGCAAGGCGAGCCATGGCGGCGGCCGCGGCTGCGAATGGGTCGCCCGATCTGCTGCAGGTGGCGGAGAAATCCACAGTGAAAGGGAACTACAAGTTTCACATCAACACAGAGATGAAAAAGAAGTCGAAATTCGAGCGTGAGACGACTCATCAGATGAGGAAGAAGCACAAGCCTGATCAAGATCATCATCAACAACAACATCAAGCCAAGGCAGCCAATGATAATAATAATTCAAGAGGCAGAACATCATCATCATCAATAATAAAGAAGTTTAGTTTTGAGGATTTCACAGTAAGCTTGATGAGCAAGAATTTGGCAGCTGCATCACAAGTTTTCCCTCAGGATGAGAAGGAGGCAGCAATTCTTCTCATGGCTTTATCTTGCAATGGCCTATTGAGCTAGCTGGCCAGGTTGATCTCTGTGTGTGTGTGTGTACTGGTTCAGTTAATTTTCTGGTTATAATAATTAGGGTTTTGATGATGATAAGCTTGCTTTTCTAATTAGTAATTTGTATGTGTGTAGTCAATGTATTGGTACTTCAATTTGTTATAATTATGAGAAGGGGATGCAACAGATAGAAGAGAATCATGAGATGTGAAGTGAAGACTTAATTTTAAGATCTTATGTTAGATTTTGAACAAGTGGAGACAACCAAAAAAAAAAAAAAGTGTCTCTCTTTTGTTATCATCTTGGCAAATTCAATAAAATTTATTTTTCAGGAATTACTTTATTTTTATATTCACTTTGTATAATCATACTTTTGAGTTTTTTTATTCATTGTGAACGCATTTATGTGAGTGTATGATCTTTCTGTACACTCATTGGAGTCTAACTTGATATGAGCTTTATTTTTCCTAAAAAATTAGTACAAATTCATAATTAAAAATAATACATATTTATTTGTTGTACGTGAACTGGTTTTGTCCATAGCGACTCAGGAAAAGTGGAAAACAGAAAGATTAAAAAGTGCATTCACTTTCGCCTTTTAGCCAGCAATCATATGTCTGTGTAATCGGGGACATTATGTAAAAGTGTTTTTTTTTTAAGTGAAAATTATGCAAAGTAATTAATATATATGGTCTTGAAGGAAAATATCATGGAAAAATATACATCTAAAGTTCCACATACGGAGACAAATATCAAATTGCATTGCTTTTGCAAAATCAAGAGTTGCATATGATCAAATTACAAGAATTTATTATGATTATATTTTGAGATAATCGCTGTGTCAAAACTACTTATATGTACAACTTTATATATAAATAATAAATTCTTGTGGGTAGTTAATTAATAAATTTCAACATCAATCAATATATTTTTTTCCTCAAATTTAAATATATATATATATATATATAGTGACGCAGCTTTGCCAAGGTTGATGGTTGGATTCAGTGTTAAGAAGCTGAAACTCTCTTAAATAATGAAATCTCAGATTATGAAAGAGTTACCATTCATATTAGTTGATAATATATACAAGACCCGTATCTAACTTCAAATTCAAATTCACGAATGAAATGCAGCCAACAAGATAAGAAAATAAAATGGAGTAATTAAGAACCTCATACTTAATCATGAGATGAAAGTTAATTCTATACATAATTGTATTCTCTTGTCAATCTAGAAAATAATATGGCCAGGTTATACACACATACATAGACGCACGTAAATATTTGTGTGTGTGTGTGTGTGTGTGTGAATGGGTTGATGAGAGAGAGATATGCGAAAGCAAGAAGACAGGCCACGCACATGCGTTTTCACTTTCACCTTTACTTGGTTAATTTTTATCTTCTCTCTCACACGGTTCTGTGTGATGCCGTGTAGACTTGACCTAACCTAACCATGCTGATGAGCTTCTCAATCATGAAAGAGATGACTCATGCTCTGGTTTCAGCTTTTATTTGAGTCCTCTTGGCCAAATGCTTGGCCCTCTCCAACCTTCAACTTCAAGTACTCTTTATTTGTATTCTCTCGAGGTAGAAAACTGGATCAACCAAGGCAGGGAGTTAATGAATATTAATGATGATCAAAACTGTAGTCTATCCGTTATCAAACTGATCATAAATAAATTATTTTATTAGTTTAGTCAAAATACAATGATTTATCGATTTAACCAGATGGGATGATCTGATTTTTCATATTATATATGAATTCTCTCTCTCTCTCTCTCTCTCTATATATATATATATATATATATGGTAGATGACCTAGTACATTCTAAATTGTTTTTGTATGCTCGAGGGGCCCAAATGCAAATATCTTTCTTCATAACAAGACACATTTACCTTTAATTGACTATGTATAATAAATAAACATTGTGCTATTTAAATAAAAACTTTGTCATGTTATTTATAAACATTGTGGTGCATATACACTAAAAAATTTGTACATTTGAGACAAGGGCGTTTGTTCATGAAGAAAGATATTTGCTTTTGGGACTTTTGGACCTACAAAAATAATTCAAGATGTATTGAGCTTTTCGTATGATTTTTTCAATTTTGGAGGTCTTATGTGGGGTTCTCCCTATATATTAAATATAGACACACACATTAACCCCATATTATTAATATTGGTCGCGTGAGATGGATGCAGATAAATAAGGTGCCAATAATTGGAGATTCATATGCACATTTTAATTGCACTGTACTTGTTCACTTGTCTTCAAGGCATTGCTTCTTCATGTGATGGTACTCAGTATATTGTAACCCGTTTCAATAATTTTTAAAGCACTATATATATATATATATATATATATGTATATTACGCACGTTTAACTTTGTATTATCTTACACCATGTCTAAGAAATAATTATATATGTTATACTCTTCATTCGAGTGAATACAACTTGTTATAAATCAACTTTTTTTCCCTACAAGACAACACATTTTTTTTTAAAAAAGATTTAATTTCAGCATTGTTACGTGCACCAATTGCCCCCCATATATTGATATTGAAATAATGAATTAAAATTGTATTATTAGCAATAGATCACTATAATATATAAAATAACAATCATTTAAATTAAATTCCTCTTCAGGTGGGAAATTTAAACTAAAAATTACATTTATCATTCAACCTCTTACATTTTATTTATAAGTAAAGGTATAAAATTCTTTACTTATTAATATGTGATATTTGGCTTGTAAATATTAAATTATTAATATTTCAACAAAACTATTTTTTGGCTGGTCAATACTAGTTAAAATGTGTGAGTCTAATAGCATTTTATTATTTTACATGATAAATTAGTTATAACTAAATCTCATGAGACTTAATCAATTTTACAAATTCATGAAATTTGCCACCTATTTTAGAGGAGAATTACATATAAATCTCATGTAAGAAAATTAATTATCACAGAATTCAATGACCTTAGTTCAATTATTAATAAATTTTATAATAATTAATTAATAACTTTAATTTAATTCTTAATAAATTTTATAGTAAATAATTTTTTATATGTGATTTTACTGGGGTTCTCTTTTTAATCTAGAACCTACAATTGGGCCAAAGTGCCCATTATTATGCTCCATGTGTTTAGCTATCATTCGCAGGTCTCATGGGCTTGTAATAAAATAACACCCCAAAATTCCCTACCCAAAGAGGAGAGGGAAATGAAAAATGTAGAGAGGCGCGACATTGAGTCTCAGCTCACATTGTGAGGATTGTGGAAGAGTTGTTTGAGAATAGTTGAAATTTCTTGAAACGAGAGAGGGAATCAAAGAGAAGACGAACGAGGTCTTCTTCTTCTTCAAAGGGATTCCTAACTGGAGAGAGAATCAATCCCTCAAAAGCAAGCTGAATTTCTCGCAGTTTCAATTACCACCACATCAGAAAACGATCATCATCATTGTTATCTTCAATGGGCGACGCTCAACCACCGCCCCCGCCCCCCCCTTCAACAAGGTTTCTCATGAAGCGCGGCAAGCTACTTTGGCGTGTACTCTTGATCTCAAATTTTGCGCTTGGAGGTTCTGCTTTCAATCTCTCGCTTCCCATAGCTTTTGTTTGTTTGTTTGTGTGCACTTGTGCTGCGATATGAAATGCGTCGTTAAATTCCCCCCTCACTTTAGTCGGCAGAAAGCTGAGTAATTTATTTGGTTGTTACTTTTTTCTTGTGACGAAACGGAGGGCAACTTTGGCGTTTTGTGTATTTTGCATTTCAAGTGTTTGATGTATTGCCAAGTAGAATTTTGTTGGATTGTTTGCTGGGTTGCTTACAATCAAGCGGTTTTTGGCTCTGACTCATACTGTGTAGGCGCATCTAGTTTCCCCTCTTATTCCCTTTTTGAATGGGACCCTTCTTATCATGTTGTTTAGTTTTCGAGTCTAACTCGTACCTACATTTGAGATGACACATCATGGCGTGCTCTTTTAACATGTCTTAGTAGTCTATTATGTTTATTGCATTTTTAGATAATGCCAAAGGAAACCAGAAGTTGAGGCTAGTTTTCATTGTTAGTGCGTACTAGTTCTATCTTGATGTCTTAAATATGCAACTGTAATATTTAGTGTTCTTTTTTTTTTTTTGACCGATAATATTTAGTGTTTCTTTAAGCTTGGTATATCTATGCTTAATCTTCAATGTTTACCATGTTCAACCGTTGGCCATCTGACTCATTGCCTCCCAACTTGCAATTTCATGGCAAAACCTATAATCAGTTTGCCTCTTAATTGATATTTGATGTTTAATTTATTCCCTTGACTAAATATTAGTGTCTTCAAGGCATTTTTCCAATAAATATTCATATTGATTAGATGAATAGGTGATTGTCTTGATTACACAATGTCTGTAGAGTGTATATATTGTGGGACCGTGGGATCGCGAGTAAAAAGCGTTTCTGTTTGTGATTGTCAATTTTTGTTGCACTTTCTAAGTTTCTGTTGCTTAGAAGATTTCTTGTTCCTAAATCCTGACATACAGTTTTCTTTCTTTGAGTGCTGATAGCAGGAATAAACTGACGCTTTTTTGGCCCTTCAATGATTCTGCTGTGATTAATTGCAGCTTATCTCTTTTCAAGGCCAAAGAAGAAAGCTGTGACTGAGGTTCATACCAGAAAAGGTCACAAATTGCAAATGGAGAAAACTACTGTTGAAATTCCTGAACCACCCACAACCACCACTTCAGTGGACACAATTTTTGATGATGATGCATTCTATTTGCCTGTCTCTATACCCGAGGAAGTGCGACCTCCCATTCCTGATGAGCAACAACGTGAAGTTTTCAAATGGATGCTGGAAGGGAAGAGAAAAGCTCAACCCAAGGACCCTGTAGAGAAGAAGCAAATAGATGAAGAAAAAGCCATCCTCAAAGAGATTCTACGTGCAGACATTATACCAAAGTTTTGATTCCCACTTCAGTTTCCTCAATGCTGACAGATTAAAGTTTCAACACAATAGATAGGCTTTGACAAGCTCTGATTATTGCGCACGTTGAAGTCCATTTTTTACTGGATAGCATGCATTAAGCAGTGGCATTATACTGCTAATTCATTTTTCGCTATATTGACATGAGCGGTCATCCAGCTTAATCCATCCTGACGAAAATGAGAAAAAATATTTTTTTTTTTGGGATGATTGTAGATTTCATATCATATCATTGAGTTCATCATGTAACACCACCAACTTGTATCGAGAATGGGTGCCAGTGTACCGTACTGTTGTCACTTGCCTACTCGTCAGTTGTATTTTTGGTCCTTGGGCATGTGAGCTCTGTGCTAATGAACCAAGGACACGTCATTGTAATGATCAGTGTACGTTGGTTAATTTCTGTTGGAGACGGAGACTCCTAACACATTGACAAAAAAAAAAAAACGATGCACAAGAAATGAATATGAACAGCATGATCTGACTCAGCATGTGTTCGTGTACTATGGGCAAACTTCCAACGTGGAAATGGTGAAAATATCAAAATATCATTCCCTTTACTATGGTATGAATTGAAACCTTTATCTCCACTTCTACAGAGGTATTTTTAACCGTTTGAACGATTTTAGTGGGAATTTCCATTTTGAACTATAGCCCAATTTTAGTGAGTGGAGATCAAAAGGCAATGGCGTAGAATTTGAAAGGAGACAAAACACAAATATGGTTATCAAGCATTGAATATGCTATTCAATGGTTTGGAGACTTTGAAAGTTGCAGGGACCACAATAGCATATTTCTCTGGATTGAGGATTCTAACTATATCCATATCCTCCAATCCCGTCCAATCTTCTATCTCTTGCTCAATCAACGAAGTTTAGGACTTTGAACGAAGTGGAAGAGTTGAAGATATTGAACTATCAAGTTCATATATGTTTGTCTCTTGTTTGTCCGATTTAATTAACTTAGATCCTTTCGAGTTCTCTCTGCAATGCCAGGAACCATCCTGGTCTCAGGTAACTTCATCTTGTGGAAGTTATTCGACTATGAGTCACCATATGTTTTTGGTTTTTTGTTTTCTTACTCCTTGTTCATATTACAGTTCTGGAATTCATGGGTCTTCCATCATCTTCAACGTCCATAAAGGGTATGCAATTGATCTTGATTTTTAGTTTCTCCTGACTCTTTTCCCCTTTACCACCTTCAAATGTCATTCATAACTATTATATTGTGGTGACTGCAGTTTCCCTAGGGAAAACAGAGCACCTAATCAGCGAGAAGGGAGACTTTTCGTTGTAAGATTAACTGAAAATTCTATCTTGTTTTTCCCCCTCCAACATTTCTAACAACAATTTCAAGATTATAATCCGTTTGTTTGTCCTATGCAGCCCATTAAATAGTCTTCGTGATGATTTCATTGTCAAACTTCAGGATGCTGATGGGAATGAGATATCTCGTACAGGTAGTTGAGAACACTACCCATTTGAAAATTTGAGTTTCCCCCTTTTCACTCGGTCCTAGGGTAAACCTGACAATAATAATATATTATGGAAGGATTTCATACGAAGCCAATTGTTGAGAAAGGTGTTTGGGAAGACATCTTTCCCCTCGGGCATGGACACCTGCGTTTGAAGCTGCAGTTCATCCTCAATGATGAAGACCGTGACAGGATTCGTATGATGGTACTGATATAGATTTCTGCTTATTATACAAGTTCACTGGGATTTTGAAGCTTTTCTTGATAATAAAAAGCTTAAGAATGATTTATTAGATTGTGCTGGACTTATGGACATGGTTGTGAAATTTTTTAGAAATTGCAAATGAAAATGCCTCAGTCGATTACTTTCTCCTTGATATGGAACTGATGGTTGTTCAGTGCAGACAGTTTCCTATGAATGATTTCATTTTGACATATTCATCTATGGTTTTGCAGAGACAATCTGCATTGAAGAAGAAACATGATGAACTTCTCGGAAGCAGTCCCACGGGTGCAGAAAGTGGTAGTACTTCTGTTGGCAATGCTGCATTAACCTTCAGGAATGATGAGGTCTCAGGTTTGATCTTACTTAACTGACTAAAGAAACAGTGAAAATATAATGTAGAAAAACAATATAATGGGAACAAATAGTGACTTAACTCTATGCTTATGAGTGACATCCTTCATTTCCCTGAAGTGTTTTTCCTGATACTCTTAAGTTCTCCATCTTCTCAAGAATCTCCAAAAAGATACCTACAGCTTGAAGCCGTTTCTCAAGGGAAGAGTCCTGTTGGTTTCCAAACTGAGGAAAAAACTGCCCCTAAAAATGTATTGGGGGCTAAGCCTCATCTGATGCAGCTACACCCAGTTAAGGATTGATTATTTTACAATGTTTTCTCTTCTGTGCTGATGAAAAGCCATTGGTAAAAGTCCTATTGTTTGTTTAATGTTCATTTCACATGTTTTAGAACAGTGCAGTTCAATATAAGGAGATCTCATCGAACAAACCTATGTCAGAGGCATTTGATCTCATTAAATTACTAGAAAAGGGTTTAATTAAGGAGCCTTCTTTTGGTTCACCATTTTCAAAAGATCCTCAGAGTGCTATTAATTCTGAGGAAGTAACAATTTCATTTAGAAGCTCAAATCAGAATGAAGTTGCAGAGAATAATCTGATGCAGTCTAATCCCAGCAGTGTGAGGAAAATGATTAGCGCCTTTGAAATGCAAACTGGTCTTGCTCAGGTATTGTAAGTGTTGTACAATGTCATTAATGTATCATTGCAAGTATTTCGACAACTGGGGTTCACATGGGACTTATCTTAAACCAGGACATGAGATCTCATATCAAATCACCTCCAACAGAACATCAATCAAGTATAGTTGAAAGAAAAGCTTCTTCCAAGGCTCAGCACTCAAGGAAAGGGCCTGTAGGCTTGTTACAAGGAAAATCAAAAGATAGCTCTCTGGCAAGAGAGTTGAAACAAGCCCAATTATATAATGGAGGAAGTAGAGCGCCACGTAATTCACTTAGCCATGGGAAGGAATTACTGAACGAACAAACAGATTCTAATTCCAGGAATAAATTCAAGCTATCACATAAATCAGATGGAAAGGAAGAGAAATATGGCAAAGATTTTGGGAGAACGTTTGCATTTGAGGCAGTTAAAGATTCATGGAAGATGCCTGAGAAGCATTCGGATAGAAATCATCTTAGCAATCTATTTGATTCCAGGCAAGATTCTAGAAGCAACCCAAACAAAGAAGAAAAAAGGGAAAATGCCTTTCAAAGTTCACGTGAATTATGTATCAAGAGGGGTTCACCATCTAAATTGAATTCAGGGGTACACCTTGATAATAATTATTGCCCTTTTGAATGTTCTGGGGCATGGATATTCCCCGAGGAACCAAGAAAGTTCTGTCTGACAACTGGTGGTAAAAATGTAATGGCCTTATTGGAAAGTCTGGTTAGAAAGCGCATAAACCCTGAAAGAAGTTTGGATTCCTCAATATTAGAAAATATGGAAAAGGTATCTAAAGATTTTTGGTAAACCTTTTGGTTAATTACTGTATTTCAACAAAACATTCATGTCTTAATAACCAGTGTCAAAGATGAAGTCTCTCACGTATTGAGAATACCTGAACAAGTAGTTTTCATTTTAGTTATGCCAAAGAACATTGAGAAAGAAAGAAGATTGAAGATACGATGTTCTCTATTGTGTGTCTTAGACTAGGTACTCTAGTGTTATTCCTTTTGTTTCCAATGCTAGCCAGGAAACTTTTAGCTGCTTGGTAGTAGATTAGCATATCACAGGTCGTTATGAACTTATGATTTTGATGCGTAGTTTCAAAACTAAGCTATATAAGATTTATGATTCTGATTGATGGCTTTGCTACAATTTTGTTTGTGTGCGCCAGATTTACTGCCATATCTGGGGCCGTTTTTTTAATGAGAGAAACATTTAACTTGGGATGTGGACTGTTACAGAATTTAAGCTGATGATTTGATCATAAGGCTTACATTCTTTGATCTATTTTCCATTTTCTTTTTTGATAAGAATGCAGCATATATTGGGCCTGGAGCTGAAGTGAAACATGCGAAGATAGATGAGACCAAAGAGTCAAAGTCTAAGAACACTGGTGGTAATGCAGATGAAGTTTCAGGAAGACCCGTTAAACAGGTCGTAATCATTTTTCGTTTAGCAGCTTTCACTTCTTTATTTCAAAGAAGTAATACTCTCTGCTGCCTCATCCTTCTTTAGTTCGTCACTGAGCTTGGATCTGTAATAATGCATTCATCCAGTTATTGTCTTTTAGATATAATAGTACACTCTTTAAGAAGAATAAAACATGTTGCAATCTCTATTCACTTGAGCAACTTCGTGCAGAACATTAAGAGACATATGAGTTATGATACAGCGAAAAGCAATGTCATGATTGCTTTATGGTTAGGTCAAACGAGTTTTAAGAAATGGTATGGATTGATTAGTATGACAGGGATAGAATTACTGTTCTATTCAAGGTGATTCGTCATGCAGTAGGCCTTTTTTGTGAGCAATAAATTACTGAGACTCATGTTTATCCTTTTAAGATTTGACTATTTGCAAAGTACCAATGTCTTTGATTGCAAGGACACGGATCGCTTCCTGCTCATTTACAAGTTATATATAAAAATATTAAGCCTTTAAATAGTTTGTTTAAGGATTTCAAGGTGTTTTTTAATTGCTGATACTTTGGATACTGGGAATGTGTCTAATTTTCAGAATGATATTTGGTTTCTTATGGAATTTACTTTTACATATATACTTTTGGAGAAAAAAAAAAAAAAGTCCTGCACTCGGCCATTGTTGAATGCTTATCTGCCCTTTCCCATCTTCATCTCTCAGCTAATAAAAGGTGCAATCATTATTGGGTTTGGAATATTTGTTCTCCTCACAAGACAAAGAAAAGGCAGGTATGGAAGTTAAAGTATTTCCTGCTCAATTTTTTGATTATGCCTTTGTTAACTGTATCATGCATTGACTATCTTATGAAGGAGACTAATGCAATTCAAGATTGAATTTGATTAAATCCATTGAAATAGTTTGATCATATAATGCCTATGAAAGGATGATAATTGATAGATATGCACTTGTTAGGAAGACATAGAAGAATGCCTTGTCTTGCATAAAATTTATGATGAATGAAATAGTGTTGTGTTTTTATTTTGTAATTTGTAATGCAGATAAAGGCTGGTTTTGGAAGTTCAAGTTGCAGCATATGAAGGGATTCAATCATCCAAAATCTCATCCTGGGTTTTCTGTGACATAGAGATTCTTTTTTCAACAAATGGACTAACAATTTGACAGAAATTCTTCTTTCATGTGAATTTCTGTCGGAGAAATTCTCATCTAAATTTTTTCTGGTTTTGTTGGCACAATTTAATTTATCAGTTGAGGATTGCTTTGTAGCAGAATTATGTCAGACTTTTGGCTTAGTGCATCAGAAAAGTGAAGCGACTCTTTAACCGCAGTTATGACCTTGTTTAAGGTGTTCAAAGGGAAAGGATCAACTTCTTTAACGGATTCAATGCAATATTGACAAGTCTTATACCACCAAGTAAAATTAGGTTAAATTATGTGGATTGATAGATTAGTTTTTCTTTTTCTTTCTTTTTTCAATGTTTCCTGATAAGTTTTGGGACATCAATTATTATATACTTGAACTTGAATTTTGCTATAATGTTTTTTTGGAGGCATAAGGGATATAATCCACTAATAGGTTAATCTCCCTTGGGGTGCTCAGAATAAAATGAAAGCACGTAATTAAATAATACGAATAAACATTTTAAATGTAAAATGTTAATAAAAATTTAATTGGTTACATGACATAGTTAGATTTTAATTTACTCTTAGTCTTAACATTCATAACATTTTATTTGTTATAAACATGTAAAACAAAATATTTAGATTAATATATTTTTAATTTTTATATTGTTAATATCTTAAGTAGTTATAATAAGTTAAAACAAAATATTCATAAGTTTCTTTAATCACATAATGTTGGAGGTAATTAAGGGCCTTTTTGTTTAAGATTAAAAGTTAAGTGATATTTAGATAGTTGAGAGATTTTATAAAAAAAGAGATTTATTTTGTAAAAAAATTATATGAATCAAATATTATTTTATGTTTAATTTCAGTAATAAAAATTATTAATAATTATTTTTAGTTCTTGTGATATTCTCATGAATTTTCATTTATAAATATATTTATTATTTCCTTATTCTAAAATTTTAAAATAATTTTGTGTATTTATATATTTTATAACATTCTCTTTCATTTATAATCGCATTATATAATTTTTTTGAAAACTATTTAAGATTGTTTTTAAAATAATCAAAAATTTATTTTTCAGATTTTGATTATTTTAAAAATTTAAATAAGTATCATAAACTTTTAAAATTAATTTTTTGACAAAAATAAGTAATTTTCTCATATTAAAAAAAAAAGCTTAAACAAAGTAACCATGAAAACGATCATCTCCAACCCCGAGGCAAGCCCAGAAACCCTATATATAAATTATAATAGATATAATAGATAATAGACAATGGATATTTGTCAAGGTAATAGATAATGGATCATTATTATTATTATTATTATTTGATAAACTTTAATTAATGTATTTTCTTCTTCTTCTTCCTTTTTTTTGGATAAATAATGAATGTGTTTTCTCTTTGAAGCTATGCGTTTCAATCCTTCATACAAGCCCTAAGGCCTAAACGTTCTGCTTCTGCTCTGCCTCCACTCGTGCGGTAATCCCTGAGCTTTCTTCACCGCAGAAACAGCTAGTTCCGTCGTGTCTTCAGCGTTTGTTCTCACCGTCGGTAGCTCATTTGCTGCTTCGCATCTGCCCTGTGTCTTCTTTTCTGTTGTAGGAAGGTTTGTAACTCCTGTCGTTTTCGCTCTTCTCTTTCTTTCCGTCTTTGTTTTGTTTGTTTTGTTTTTTTTTTTTTGCTTGGCCAAACTTCTGTTGTAACAGCCAACAGCCATTAATGCATTTGAATTAACCATATAATCTTTTGTGAAGAAACTAAAGCGGCTACTTTCTCAGCCAGGCGACAATCCAATCCTGAGTTTTGTTAATAAGCCTTCAATCCGAGGTAAAAAAAGTAAAGCAGAATCGCCAAGTACTCTACAATGACTCGCAGCATAAACAATCCCAAGAAAGCTAAGAGGAAGAACAAGGTTAAGTCCTGTCAATTATTATTGAATTTTCTTCGAAAAATCCTTTTTTTTTTTTTCCTTTTTGGCATTGACTAACGTATTTGGTTCTGCGATTAAAATTCAGGGCGCTAAGAAAGGGGATGGCTCATCTTCTTCTTCCATACCTTCAGCTCCCGCCAAGGTATGGCAACCGGGTGTGGACAAGCTGGAGGAAGGGGAGGAGCTTCAGTGTGATCCTTCTGCTTACAATTCTCTTCATGCCTTCCACATTGGATGGCCCTGTTTGAGGTGACTTAACGGTTTTTTACTATCCTTTTACCCCCCCTCTTTTTGCTTGCTTCACGAGTTAAATAAAGAAAAAAAAAATTAGGCTTGTATAATTATTATGGGACTGTTCTTTGTATAGTTATCGCTGCTTACTTTCTCATTCTCAAAGAATTTTGCTTTATTTCCCTTATACGAATGTGAATTAGGTAGAACCCTGTGCTGTCTGTGTAGTGGATATATGTTTTTGAACTTCTTTTATTAAGATAGGATAGAATAAGCTATTGCTTGGCTTTTAGATCCTGAGATACGTGGTTGTTACGCGGATGCCCTTTTCCATCGTGTATTGATATTCAAAATGAGAGTCTTGGCGACCACTTTCTGGCCTTCATTTATGTACTTTATTGTAAATATGTTTTGACAGTTTTGACATTGTTCGTGACGCTCTGGGCTTACTTCGGACTGAATTTCCTCACACAGTATATTTCATGGCAGGGACTCAGGTGAGTTTTAGATTTGTCTGGTGAAGATTTTCGTATGAGTGATGGCCGACTTCAGGGAACTTTCTGTTGGATTAGTTTGTGGAACTATTAGTTGTGAAGGCAAACAAGTTGATTTCATGTCTTGCAATATTTGTTCTTTCTTTTATTTTATTTTTTGGGGTGGAAATCTCTCAAAGTAATGAACAGAATGAAACCAAATGCCCCCTTTCATCATCTTCATTTATATTTTTGTCTTTTGTTATTCACACTTTTGACTTTGTCATATTGATATGATGGTGCTTGTGCAGGCAGAGAAAGCTTCATGGAATTCTATTGGAATTTTTAAAGTATCAAATATCTCTGGGAAAAGACGTGAACTGGTGCCTAAACCTGCAGCTGATGATGCTGAAATGGATAGTGACAATAGTGATAGTGAGGATGATAGTGATGATGAAGATCCTGATAGTTCTAAGTCTCCCATTTTGCAGGCAATGTCTTGTAAATTTGACCTTGTTATACTTAAGATCCTTGCTGTTCTAACATAACATTTCTCATTAATCCTTTCATTTCTATTCTACAGTTGCGCAAGGTATCTCATGAAGGATGTATCAACCGCATACGCTCCATGACTCAAAATCCTCATATATGTGCAGCTTGGGCAGATACTGGCTATGTACAGGTTATATTTTCTAACCAATTCCCCCTTTTCTGGTTTATGATTTGTGTAATGATGGATTAATATAATTTGTTTCATAGAAATTGATACTTAATAGTTTATGTGTAGTATATGTCAGGATGCTCGTAGTGGAATGATAAATTATGTTCTTGCTACTTATATGTTATTATTTCTTATTTGTAATGTGTTCATGGAATCAACGTTGTTTTTACCGTGTTACCATTTTGATACAGTGTTGAGTATGCCTAAGTTAGATTCAAGGTAACTGTTATTAATAGCATTTTAAACAACACAATACGATTATTTGACTAACTATACTCTACTAGATTAAAACCATTCCTTCTGATTGCCCCTGCTTCTCTGATTTCGTTCTTAAACTTTTTGCTATAAATTCTAATGGGCTGTGACTCATTGAGCATGAGCCTATTGCTTTCTCTTTTGGCCACAAAAATCTGACTTTGTTTTTCATTGAGTTATATTTCAGTTTTGCATATGGTTTTACCCGTGAATATTTAATTTGCAGGTCTGGGACTTCAAATCTCATCTCAATGCTCTAGCAGAATCAGAAACAGAAGGTGCCCAAGGAGCAGCTTCAGTTTTTAATCAGAATCCGCTGGCTAAGTTTAAGCATCAAGATGAAGGCTATGCCATAGACTGGAGTTCTGTAGATCCTGGAATGCTTGTATCTGGTAATCTCAGTTTGCCTTTTAGTTTAGCTTAATTTAATGAATCATTGTCTCCTACTCAAGATTTAATCATCCTCTTCATTTTCAAGGGGATTGCAAGAATTGCATATATCTGTGGAAGCCCACATCTGCTGCAACCTGGAATGTTGACAAAATGAATGCTGCACATAAAGCAAGTGTTGAAGATCTACAGGTGAGCATTTAACACACAAAGCAACATGAGCTCGTTGTATTTAGTGTATCCAATTTGCAGTGTCATTTCCAATAAATCTGTTTTTTACTCTCTCAAATATTCTAAAAATTCTATTCATCCTTGCAGTGGAGCCCCACAGAACCTAATGTGTTTGCTTCTTGTTCTATTGATGGGAGTATTGCAATATGGGATACCCGTCTAGGGAAGTCAGCGGTGACATCTTTTAAAGCTCATAATGCTGATGTTAATGTCATGTCATGGAACAGGTGTGCGACAATGAGTTTAATGATGCTCCTTGAACTTTATTGCAATTCTATATCTCATGCTTGCTTTGTACTAAATTCTGTAGGTTGGCCAGTTGCATGTTGGCCTCTGGGAGTGATGATGGGACATTTTCTATTCGTGATCTTAGATTGCTCAAGGTATGTCTCAGCCTGGCTGTGAATGTCTCTCTCATCATGCTAAAAGTGTTTTATGTTCCCCATAGAATGTTGTGTCAATTCTTTTGAGCACATTTTTTTATATGTTATAGCAGAAGACTCGTTCTTTGTGAACCTTGTGCAACCCAGTGCTGTTGTATTCTGTTATCCTTTTTGAAGCTCACAATTATATCTACATTAGCAATTGAAGTTCACATTATTAAATTTGCAAATATATAGTCATGTTTTATTTGTGATTTTTTTGATAAAAACAAAAAGAAAAAGAAAAAAAAAATAAAGCTGACGTGAATGTGTGTTGATTTGTGGGTAGGATGGAGATTCTGTGGTAGCACATTTTGAATACCACAAGCACCCAATCACATCCATCGAGTGGAGCCCACATGAAGCTTCTTCTTTGGCTGTCTCATCATCTGATAATCAGCTCACGTAAGTGACGTGGTATTGATAGCATGTTTTTCTTTGACATTCCAAACAGACCTTGGCGTATCAACAAGTTTGTTTTAAATTTATATATTTGGGATTTTAAAAGTTCTGCATTGGCTTCAACCATAGAATATGGGACCTTTCCTTAGAAAAGGATGAGGAAGAAGAAGCTGAATTTAAAGCTCAAACCAAGGAACAAGTAAAGTCCCCTGAAGACCTGCCTCCTCAACTTCTATTTATTCATCAGGTAGGTTGTGGTATTTCAGTCTCCATATTCATTTAGATGGTGTAACTCCTGATTATGGTTTTCCAGGAACTGGCACCGGTTCTGGTCTCTGGTTATATGTTTGAACCGTGCAATAAGTTTCTGTCTGATTTCAAAAACATTGCTTCTGATTTATTCGGTTGAATTGAAACAGGGACAGAAAGACCTTAAAGAACTACACTGGCATCCTCAAATTCCTGGAATGATTGTGTCTACCGCAGCAGATGGATTTAACATCCTTATGCCTTCAAATATTCAAACAACCTTACCATCTGAGGGCCCTTGATACTTGGCATTGCTGGGGACATTTCCTGCAAATCATGGGCACACATATCTGGTGCAATAATTTTTGGTGTAAAGTAGTGTGTCGGATTTTTTTAAGCAAAAGTTTTGTAATGTTAACTACAGCATTCCCCCTTCATTTCCATGTCATTCCACTGAGTTTTGCTGTGGGTTGATGCATAACTGGTCATGTCTAATTATTTTTCTGTTTTATTCTCAATGAAGGGTATATGAACTGATTACGATTTTGAAAATTAATCAAACTGATTAGAATTTTGGGCTTGAGATATATTTAAACAAGGTTTTGGGTCCATTGAAGCAGTGCCTATATATTATGAAGGCTTAACCCGAGGGTGGGGGGAACAAAAGAGGTTTGAAGAAAATTGAAGAACACTTGGTGGAGTAAATTAGAAAGTTATTGATCTATTTGAAACAATGTTTCTCTCTCATGGAATCATGTAACTTTAAAATTAAGCAATACTTCAACGGTAAAGCAGTGCTGTGATCCTTTTACAAGAATGAAAATCTAGGAAGAAAAGCTTCAAGGGAAAATAGATTATTTGCCGGAAGGTGGTTTGGTTGTTTCGTTCTTTTAAATAATTTTTTTAGCTTCTGAAATATACTCTTAGTTTTATATACATAAGGTGTTTTTTTATAAACTTATGTTTCAATACGAGAGGTGTTATAATAATTTTAAGTAATTGAATAATTTTATCTTTATTTTGAAACGGGAAAGATAAATTAATTATGTGTTTTATCTACTACTATAATGTTAATTGTGACATTTATTAGGGGCAAAATTGAAAAAATTCTATGATTTTATGAGTTTTTAATTAAATAAAAAACTTTTATTAATATGTAAAATTTAATTAAAAATACCTTAGATGTAAGGATGGAATGAATATATGCTTTACACACCTTCAAAAGACATCCCAATTTTTATTCAAAGTTCTCCTAAATCCTTTAATTAATAGCTCTTAGTAAGGATGGTTCATTATATTATCTCTTAGCAGCAAATTCAACAGTAGGACACTATCAGTGTAAACAATGACATTCTTTAGAACCCTGTAGATTCCTTTCACAATAGTAATGATAAATCGGATTGATCCAAGTTTCTGACTAAACCCAAGGCGCCACTCATCCTTCATGTTCATAGTTACTCAAGCACATGTTGCTTTCATTTTTGTTTTCTACAGCCTAGAGAATTTTCATATTTTATGCAATTTTTTTGAAACTTGTAGAAAAATATTAAAAGGATACGAAAGATGCAAATTCCAATGAAATGTGCATAGAAAAAACATTCAAAAATGTTTGGAATTCGAGAAGAATCGTGTAATTGATTATTTATAAATTTTAAATAGTAGAAATTTCTATTAAATTCGTATTTTATTTTCATACTTTGATGATATTGATTTCAGAAGCACAAATGCACGATAACAAGAGTGGGGAAGGGGAAGGGGGAATATGTCAATTTTTTTTTTAATTTCTCATGTTTATATTTTATAAAATAAATATAAATAAAAAAGTTGAATTTCATTTCTTTTTCTTTCTTCAATCTAAATAAATAAACTCAACTTAATAAAAGGGGGAACTTTTGTTAGGCTAGCCTAAACTTGTCTACGCATATCTCATTTTCCACATTAGAGAGAAATAAGAGACTATATTTTCATGATATGAATTAATATAAAATCATTCATTTTTTGTTTAAAAAAGTATTGATGTTATCTAAATTGATTTAAAAGACTGATAAAACTCTTCTTTGGCTGCAAAAACAGAGCTTTGCTACGCGAGAACAAAAAGGCCATGATCAAAAGGCACTGATATAAACATTTGCAAAGTTTGCCCCAAAAAAAAAAACTAAACTTTCACTTAATCCAAAATTTCATAAAATTTGAGAACCAAAGTTGATTATCGTGCATGTGAGTGTGTGTGTGTGTGTATACTTGATGAAACAGTCACATTCCTCTGTATCACTCATTATTTACTCATCATCAACTGTCAACTCTGAACGCTGCTCCCGATCAACGTAATTGATCATCATGATCAAGTTACGGGCTATGATTAGTCCAAAATAAAAGCCTCCAAACAGGTCTCTGCTTGCTGCTACCCTTGCCATTCTTGACCTTCAGCTTCACCTTCACCTTCACTCTCACCCTTCCTCTTCCTTCCACTTCCATCTTCTGCATCTGCTTTATGTTCAACATGTTCCACATCACCTCCACATCTCTGTACCCACACATTTCCACATCATCTCTAAGCTTCAGCAACCCTCCAGCTCCGTCGCTGCCTCCTCCTCCACCGCCGCCGCCGCCTCCACTGTTAACTGCCACGTCAAAAACAGAGCATCTATCCATCCCATCAAACCTACCACAACAGTGTCCTCCAACAAATCCTCTCTTCAATCAATCACCACTTAAAACTACTAAAAGAGAAGAAGAAGAAAGAAAGAAAGAAAAGTTCAAGAACGAGGAAGAAAGTAGAAAAAGTTACGATTTTCAGGAGAACCCACCAACCGATTTGCGAAGTTTGAACAGACGAGGAACAAGGCTACAAGATCTTCTCAGCTTGTGCCACCAATCCATCATGCTCATAAAATTAAGGTGTCAGAAATGACAAGTGATGGTAGAAGAATAAGAAGAAGAAGATGTAGAGGAGGAAAGAGAATGGAGGGAGGCACCGAAGGTGATGCACGTGGCAGGCGCGTGGGTCTGCATTGTGCTGATGCTGTCTGAGTCTGAGTAAAGCTTTGGAAGTGAATGGGATCTGACTCGGTTGGGATTTGGCTTTGTGTCAAATTTACAAGAGAGAAGATGAAGCTGTGGAACTCAAAATAAGGAAATGATTGTTAAAAAAAGTTTTGATTCGGCTGCTCTCGTCACTTTCATGTGTTTCTTCAGTCTCAGAGCGGTGAATGAACCTTTGAATAATGATCCCTTGTAATGCTGCACGCTTCCACTCTGCAACATGTCGTAAGAGACAGTAAATAAATGTGGAACGTGGCCTAATGTTTAAAAGAAAAGGAGAGTATCAAAGGTTTTTTTGAAAAAATTACATATAAGATCCAAATCAAAAACTTATATGCAAATAAATCTCATAGATTTGTGATTAAATGTAGAGATAAATTTTTAAGAAGTTAAGTTGTAAATGTAAAAATTTTGACTTGTAAATTTTAAAAAATCAAGTGTAGATATATGATGTTTGACTTGTAAATATTAAAATATTAATATTTTAATAAAATATTTTTGATCGTTTAATCCCGACTTGTGATCAGTCAATGGCTGCATGTGATCAATCAATACCGGTCAACGTAAATCAAAGGTATGTGAGTCTAAAAACATTGTCATTTTATTAAAAAATTTATTACAATCAATGATCAAGTCTTAGGAGCTGATTTAAGTATTTTTACAAATTTATGAGACTTGTTTATAAGTAAGTCTTGTAATTGGAATCCACTCACAATTTGCCCAAGTTTATAATGTGGTTGGATCTACGTGTTCCTTGAGTACGGTCACATACCTAATTTTGTTAATTATATATTCTCTATGGATGTATTTATAAGGCAAAAAGAAGATATCTTTTTATTTATAAGTTACTTCATTAAATTTTTAATATAAATTTTTTCTTTTATGTTGAATGTTGGAGAGAAAAAATGTACTATTAAAGAATGTATATTTAATAGAAGTAAAGTTGAGAATTTATTAAATTTTAAAATAAAGTTAATAAATTTTAAAATTTTTATTGGTTCTGATAAAATATACTGATTAGAAGAGTATTAGTTTAGTGGAGATTTGTCATTTGTGTTGTGCTCTTAAAAGGCACTTTGCTATGTTTGTTTTGGTTTGGATTTATTCCAATTGCTGAAATGCGCATTCTATATTTTTCAAATACTAATATGTCTTTTTATTATTGATGATTTTTTGACATCGTTTCCTTTATTAAATTTCATGTTTAAACTTGGATGTCATCAATTCGCTTTTGAATTTTGAACTTAATGTGCTTATTGACTATTCAATAATTGGTGATTTATTTTAATATAGCAAACTTAGTATTACTATATAATTAAGTAGAAATTTTTTGATTGTTTTGCAAATAATCTGATTAGTTTATTATTAGAATAAATCATTTGATGAGCGAAAATATACATATTATTTATAAAACTATAATTCACAGGGTAAATGAGCAAATTGACCCTTAAACTTTAAATTCAATAACATTATAGATCATGAACTTGTTTAATGTGCAAATTATTTTTTCAACTTTTAAAAATAATGTAATTTATTTTCTGCCATTAACAAAAGTTTACTTTAACCATTATCAAAAAATTCCTTTTATATAATTTTTGAAGTCATGTTCTAGTTAACTAATGATTAAAGTGAACTTTTATTAATGATAAGGATCATATTGTATAGTTTTTAGAAGTTAGGGAAATAATTTATATAATAAATAAGTTCAGGATCTGTAGTATTACTAGACCTAAAATTTAGAAAGTAATTTGCTTATTTATCCTAATTTATAAAGTTAATTAGTTGATTGGATATGATGAGATTTTCCTAAATAAGGAAAGGCATATAAAATTTATTTATAAATGTTTAAAACAAATAAAATGTTGAGTAATGAGTATATAGGTACAATATGCATTACACAAAATTTTCCCCTTTGTGAATCCCCTTTGGCATAATGATGTGGAAGTCCTCTTGTAAGTTGTAATTGGGAGTTCACGAGGTTAAACTTGGTTGTAACTTCAAGTTATCAGCACTTACCTTTATAATTAAAAAACAATGTTTGATATATAGAAAACATTATTAAAAAAATAAAAAATGTACCTTAAAAAAAGAAACGAATATATTTTTCATTTTCTATCTGAAAAAAATATTTTTTTTACATACTAAACATTTCATTAATTCATTATGGATTCTTCAATTCAAAAAAAAAAAATTCTTTGGGTATTTAGAAGTCCTTTTTGTGATCGCCTTCAAATGCTTCAGCCCAAGAAAAGAAAAAAAAAAAATCTCCCTGCAAATGCCCAGTATGAGTTAGGGCCCAAGGGTCCAAAATTTAATTCCCTTTAAGTTTTTAACACTGTATTCACCATTTTTTTGGTTAAAAATATATTTACCATTTTAGCCCTATACCAACTCGTCTCTTTCTCAACGTCTTATGGTCTGAGTTTAATTTCAAGTATCCTCCCCTTTTCCATATACCACTATTATAATTCAAACTTTCACATTGCCATTTGCTTAACATCATTTTAACAAGGTACTTATTATTTTAAATTACTAATTAAGATCTTGCAAATTTTTGTAGAAAGCTTCTATATATATAACCATAACCATTCACACGTGGAACATTTGGTGGAACAGGCAAATTTTTCATCATCATCATATCTTAGTTCTCAACCCAAATTCTTTCTTTTTGTTTGGAGAGAAAAATGGTATATTTTAGTTTTTAAACGAGCTTAAATCATTCACTTGATTTGAATGATTTATGATTGTTTTTATAAATAAATATAAAAATTATCCTATAAGCAATTTTTTAACTGTCATAATTAAATATATTATCAAATAAATTTTATTCAAAATAATATTATTTTTTAATTTAACACAAGATGGATAATTTATTTATTATTTACTCTAAACCTAGTATTCATATTTAATATTACGCATCAGGTTTTTATTAGCTGGAACAATTCAAACGATAGTACCAATTCAAAAGCGTACAAAAATTAGACTGCAAAATAACTTAAACAAAGTCAAAAAAATCCAATACGAGGGAAAACTCAATTCCATTCTATACGATTACCTCTTAACAGAGAAATTATTACTCATTGACAACAATTTTGTTCTCATTCACTTCTGTATTTTATTATTTTTTTGGTCCAAAATTCTGTATTTTATATTTTTGTTTCTTCTTCAAACATCCTCGTCTTCTCGCTTTGACCATTTCAAGAGGACGGAGGACAAGAAGTCAAATATATTAAATACAATAATCCTCGAATTCTCTCTCTTATTTATTCTAGATGGATAGCTAGTGTTCTTAATTAATTAACTAGCAAATTTATAAAAACCCATTTTTTGCCGGAATAATAAACCATATTAAAACCATGCGACACTTACAATTTTAGCGTACAAAAATATTATATATATATATATATATATACTGGTACACTCTTTATATATATATATATATATATATTTTAATGGAGAGAGTAAGACAGATCGCTTTGCCTTCCCATTCGTGTAGTTTTCTTGAAGCCATATCATAGGATTAGAAGAATATTTTATTCAAGCAGCATGAAAGTGACGAATTAATCTTATGGACTATGTATGTTTTGTGTCTTTGTGTATATTCAATTCTTAAAATTAGACATATACATTGTCTTTATTTTCACAACTTATATTTTTTGGGAAAATGACAATTAAGAACCCTTTAAGAATATTAATGGACCATAACATTTTAAAATCTCAATTAAAGACCATGATCTTTAATTGGGATAAAAAAATAATGTTTGTGAGATAAAATTTACTAACGCCGCTTAGGAATTTACTAAACTAACTTGAAAAAATTGCTAACGTATATTATGAAAATATAAAACTCTACTTGAAAATTGATTATTTAACAAAAAGCACCATTTGAGAATTTATTAACCCGACTTAAAAATTTTTTTAACATATATTGTGAAAACATGAAACCCCACTTGAGAATCGATTGATTAATAAAAAATTTTCAATTTGGACAAATCACTTTTTGTTAAACAATCGATTTCCAAGTAGGGTTTTATGTTTTCACAATATATGTTAAAATTTTTTTCAAGTTGAGTTAATGAATTTTCAAGACATTTTTTTGTTAAACAATCGATTCTCAAGTAAGGTTTCATGTCTTCACAATATATGTTAGCAATTTTATCAATTTAGGTTAGTGAATCCCCAAGTGGTGTTAATGAATCTCACCTCATTAACTATATTTTTTTATCCGAATTAAGGACTATGGTCCTTAACTAAAATTTCAAAATATTATTATCCTTAATTAGAATTCATGTTTTTAGAGGGTTTTTAATTGTCATTTTCCAATTTTTTTGATAGAAAAACAACTTATATGGTTTTCATAATTTATATGCTTTCCTTTAAATTCTGATAAAATTCACAATTTCTTTTTTTTTAAAGGAAAAATTGATCTTTTAGTCCTCCAACTTTTAATTCACTTATAACTTAATCTCTCAATTATGACTCGCTGTGACTCAGTCCTTCAACTATGACTCGCCTATGAATTAGTCCCTCAACTTTTGGATCACTTACAAATTTATCCTTAAACTTTTGTTATTTTTTTCATGTTAGCTTATATCTCACATCAATGAGCAAGAGAAGGATATTTTACAATAATATATGACCATTTTTTTATCCCTCTTATTTGATAAGAAATTTTTTTAAAAAAATTAAAAAATAAGGATTGAATTATAGGTAAATCAAAAGTTGAGGGATTGAGTTGTAGTGAGTCATAGTTAATGAACTGAGTTACAAGTGAATTAAAAGTTAAAAGATTAAAATATTAATTTTTTTTAAAAGCCCATACAAATTTGCTTGGAAGACACGTAGTAAATTCCCCCATATATCTATTCACTTTTGTTGGAATTAATGTTGCTTATTTTTAATAGAAAATTTTCTAATTTCAAAAAAGGTAGAGAAAATTCTATGTAATTTAACAAAACTTAAGATAAATTTGTGTAAAATTTACCTCTATTTCATAAAAGACCTTGAAAATTAATATTTACTCATATCTAGATTTCAAAATTATATGCAAGTCACACAATTGAAATAGACATCATTTATTTCTACTCATTAACCACGAATTTCCACAAGACCAAGAACGAAGTAAATTAACCTGAAAGAAAACCCAAAAAAAAAAAAAAGAAACTCAATAAAATTCCCCCATAGGTGAGCCCCACTTGCAAGGCGCAGTTTTTTTGACTTTTCTTTTCTTCTGTTTTTTTTTTTTTTTTTGTGTGGGGCCCTTTTATCTCTCTAGATCGATCAGAGAGAGCATTCAGGAGGGAGGCCTTGAGGGAATCGCTTGGTATCAGTACAATAGTTATAAATCATGTAATTCTTCTGCACCCACTTGATTCTGGCTTGTCCGGTCGAGTCCAGCGACTGTTTCAGCCACGACTGGTCCGACGAGCCGCCGCTGTTGCAGGAGGAAGAAGAAGACGACGCCGAAGAAACACAGGCTTGAGCATTGAAGTTCCTGAAAGAGGCAGTGAAAGGAGCTTTGGTCCAATCAGTCTTCACAAGTCCTCCTCTGGTGGCCCAATCTTCTGCGTCCCAGAGGCTTCCGTATAGTCTCATTGCTTGGCTCTTTGGAAATGGAATCCCTCTTGATTCCATGTTCTTGAATTCTCTTATTGGTGTGCCGTCCACTGAGAATCTGATTTCTCAATCCAGCACATATATAATTAATTAATATAGCTTTAATTTACACACATTTTCTCCACCTCAATTTTTTTATTAACAAACAATGATTGGGATTATACAGTATATTAGTAGAAAAGACCCGACATGTCTTAAATGACATCTGAGTTTAAATATTGAGAAAGTTTTAACTCTTGTTTTTAGGAACAACCCAATTTAAGTCTAGATTATTCGAATATATTATATTGGGAGAATTCCATATAGATCTCAATAAAAAAATTAACTATTTATAAATCTTGTTCACTGAAATTTGATATGTAAACATATCAATTGGACTTGTAAAATGGACTGAAAAAATAATTAATTTTTTATTTGAAACTTGATTGTAATTGTTCCTATTAAATTTTATATTATCATTTAAAAAATTATGTAAGTAAATAATTGTAATTTATTTGATATTGCTACGGTTGCAACCGCAACATTAGCCAAAGTATAATTTTCTTTTTGAGCCAGAATGAACAAAAACACCAAATAAATGGAACACTACCTAACCCCAATACAAACTTTGTTATAATAAATTAATAATTAATATACGTATAAAGAGCTTCAAAGGAGCTATCATCAAACAACTAAACTTAAGTACAAGTGATGACACAACGAAGCTTTTTTGAATGAGGGGTAAATATTATGTATTTGGCCAAGCACAAGAAATAAATGAAATTAACTAGAAAAATATATGCATTTGAGCATATATACGTATATAATTGAAATAAAGAAGGATAATTAAGAGATGTAATATAAGTAATACGTACATGATGGTTTGAGGATTCCAGAGAATGGAATAAGTGTGAAAGTCTTTGGTGGGATCAAACCACAAATAAAACTGCTGCTCTCTGTTACCTTTCCCTTGCGCGTATATGTTGGTATGAAGAATATAAGGATCGCCACTCAAATTTCCCAGAAATTCAAAGTCTATTTCGTCATGAGTTGGCCCCTCTGAACTTAACTGCATCATCACCAACAAATATATAAATATATACACACACTGTAAATATATAAAAGAGAGAAGAAGAAGATGATGAGGATGATGAGTTAATACGTACGTAGTAAGTGGTGACGGTGCCGGCGGAGTTTCCGGGGACGAGTTTGAGCTGCATGTCGATCTTTGCGAAGAGGTATTGGTTGACGGAGCGGAAGCCGGAGCCGGAGGACTTGTCGAGAGAGAGGGTGAGGAGGCGGCCGCCGTCGAGGACGGTGGCGCGGCCGTCGCCCCAGGTGATTTGGAAGTCCTGGTTGAAGTTTCCGGAGGAGGCAGCGGCAACGAGGAAGCTGAGGAGGAGGAGGAGGACGGAGGATTTGATCATGACGTGGTTATGGTTGCTGTTGGTCATTATTTCCAAGAATTTTTGGATGTTTTTGGGTGGCAAAGAGAGGAAGAGAAATGAGGAAAAAGCCAACCAAGTCTGGATTGGATATGCAGAGTCGTGAAGGTGGGCGTCTATATATACACAGAGACGGAGATGGCTGTGAGGGAGAGAGGGGAGATTCCAAGTTGGTGGCGACTGCGTTTCTTAAAAATTAGAACATGTTCAAAAATATAAAATATTTTTTAAGAATTAAATATTAAAAAATATAAAATATTTATAATACTTCAAAACTTAATTATTATATTTTTAAAAAAAATACTCTTAATAAATAAATTATATTTTATTTTATTTTAGGATAAAATAATTTATTAAATAGATGTAAGTATAAAAAAATGGTGTTAGTTTAAAAAAAATTACTTTATTAAAAGTTAAGTTTTGATTAAAAATGTCTTATATTTTTTAATAAACAAATATATTTTTTTTAAGAGCATTTAAAGAAAGAAACAGAGCATTTTTAATTTTCAAAATTCCTTGGAATATCGAGCTAAGTTAACCTAACTTTGTGCTTATTAAAAAAATATTAGTTATAATTTTAAAATTATATACGAATATATAATTTTTTAATTTTATTCTTCTTTATAATTAATAAATATAATAAATTATTGTTTTAGAATTGAAATCATAATAAATAAACAAGTATAAAATTTAAAAAATAAAATTAATTACTCTAATTTTGCCTTATATTAAGGACTAGGTGGGGTATGCATAATATTTTTATCTCTATCAGATAGCATACTAGTTTGTAAATGATATACTATTTTACTAAAAAAATAAATGCCTGCCTCATATTGTTTACGAAGTATAAACACAAAGTCTCAGTTTCAAGTTTGTGTAAATGTTTTTGGGAAATGCTCTTTCTAATTGGAAGTGACAACGATTGAATCTCGGGTCGAGTTAGATAATTAATCATATGTGTATATTTCATATTAATTTAAGATATCAAGTCATGTTTTTTTCCTTATTACCTTTGTTTATGTATTTACATGATCCTATTCCTTTCATCTCAAATTTAGAATATTTTTAAATGAGTTTTTTTTATCTTAAAATATAAAATACTTTGGATAGATTAAGATTTCATTAAATACGTCAATTTTAATATTACCCTTTCTCTCTCTATAATTAATTTCTGTTCTTTCTCTTTTTAATATATTAAATAATGAATATTTTTAAAAGTTTATATTTTTATTTTAAAAAAATAAGGTTGTTAGATGTATTTAATGATATTTATTGATATATAAAATTTTATTTAAAAATATTTTATAATTTATAACAGAGAGAGTATTTCATTTAGAAAAAAGAAAAAATCAATGGGTCAATTAAATTGGTCGGTACGTTTTAATTAATATTCAATAATAAAGAAAATAACGTTATTACAGGGAACAATTAATATAGTTAGCTGCAAACAGAGTTATGATTTGGTATGGAGGGTAATTAATGAAGGAGAGAGGATTAAAATGGAAGCGTTGTGGAATAAAAGAAGAGTGGTTGAAAGTAGAAACGTGTAGAAAGGATAAGGGAGCAATTAGGGTTGACTTCTCTCCCTCCTTTTGGTTCAACATCTTCTCTATAATGGATGCCAGCTAATTAATAATGCGGATCACCCTCCCTATATCTTACCCCTTTTTGTGATCTACAATGCTCATAGAGTATTTATTTTAATTTTATTTATAAAATATTTTAATACTTATTATATTTATGTTAATGTTTTGTCTTTATTAAATGCTAAAAAAATTATTAAATAATAGAGTATTTTACTTTTAAGTAGTGTTTGGAGTGATATATTTGAATTTAAAATTTAAAATCTTGCATTTTAAATTCATATATTTAAATTTTTTTATTTAAGTGGTTTAAAAAATTTCAAATGAAAATGAGTAATGAGTTGAGATTCAAAATGAAGATGGAAAATTGAAAAAAATAAGTTTATTTTTATTTTTTAATTGATAAAAGATAAAAAAAAAGATATAAGAGTTATAGAAGTATCAATAGTAAAAACGTGAAGAAAATGAGATGCTTGGGTGTTTAAAATTTCAAATGATTAGGATATAAGTATAATTTAAAATTATAAAGGAATTATAAAATTTAAATTCATAAATTTTTAAATGCTGGAACAGTAAATTTGGCCAAACTTCAAATTCAAACTCAAATTTATAGGTATCCAAACACATCATTAAAGTATGTACTCCATCTCAAATTATAAAATATTTTTAAATGAAATCATGCATATCAATGAAGCTTATTAAATAGACTTTATAATTTTATTTTTTCAAAAAAAATAAAAAATTTTAAAAATGCTTTTCATTTAAGGTTTCATCTGTGAAAGAATATTAAAGAGAGAGAGAGAGAGAGAGTAAAATTCTGTGAAAGCTATTGAAAACGTACCATTAATAAAACTTTATTTTTTGTATATTTTAAAGGATAAAGTTAAATTTTTTTTAAATTTTAGACAAAATTAATGAAATTTAAATTTGTTGATTACAATAAAAATGATGAAAGCGATTTAATTATAGATATGTAGGGAGGGAGGGTATCATTCACAATTAGTATTGTCCACTGACTCTAATTTGAATCCACCAGGATTTCAACAACGGAGAAGTGCTTCTTATTTGTAAGGCTTTAATTTGTGTTTGGTTTTATGTTGAAAATTATCCAAGTTATAGTTTTGACAGGAGCATGTTGTTATTTGTTTCTGTCATATTTATTTATTTATCATTTTTCTGAGTATGTGAAATTAGAGTTGGGAATAAGGGTTAGGCCTAGATGCCAAGCCTAAAAATCCTCTTTGGATTTGAGCTTCAAAAATTATTTTTTTTAAAGTAAGCAAGCTTGAGAACCTGACCTTGATAAATCTTGTGAAAAAGAGCTTATATTGGGTGGCCCTTCAAGCTTTGATAAGCCTGATTATTTTATACACACACACACATACATATATTTGATTGATAATGACATAATTTAGTTAATACTTATTATAGGTAATGAATAAGAAGTTGTAAAGATAATTGACATTAAACCTTCACCTCCATCTTCAATAAGTAAATTTATATTGAGAGATTTAATATTTTATTTTTAGATGATGAAGAGGAGGATTTAGATTTACATTGATAAAGATTTTAATCTTTATCTTATATTTTAAATTTTAAATCTTAATCCAATTTTATGTGAGACTTTAATTTATTTCATGTTGAATTTTAAAATAATTTATTTAAATTATAAATATTTTTTTTTAAAAAAAGGACTTAAAGGCCCAACCTTGAGCCCTTTAAATAAAAGTTGGGCCTCAGAATTAAATTAAATTAAATTTTAGTGACTGGGCTTTAGAGCTTGAGCCCTTAAGAGCCAAGCCCGCCCTAATTTTTACCTCTGTGAAATTAAATACACTTTAATTACCTGAATTTGACATGTTTCTAAGGGGATATGTGTGTGTACATATAAGAAGTGATTTTCTACTTAACATATTGATTGTGTTGGATGGCATGTTGGCCATTTGTTTTTGATCATACATGCCTTCTACCCAAAATTTTGCCTTCAAATATCTCTTCTCATTTGGTTGGTCAGTATTCAAGCATTAATTCGCAATAACAATTAGTCAATTGTGCATTGAATTATGCATATGTTCCTTAAAAAATTAGTTGAATTTGACATTTTTTTACATGATTTTCCATGACAACAAAAAGATGCGGGAACAAAACAAAGAGGATTTTTTTTAAATATATATGTTATGAAAAAAAGATTTGGCCATTTTGGGTATTTGTCTCTATCAAGTTATATCGCATGAAAAACGTGTAATTGCCCCTTCTCAATCATTCGTTCCTCTATATAGTTATTTGGTTCTTAATACTTAATAAATTTAAAAGTCTTTAAAGCTCAAAATTAAAAGCCTTCAAATTTGAATACAATAATAACAAGCAATCTTGTCTCATTAGGTGAAATTATTTACATGAATTACATGATGCCATTATATTATATTATCAATCAAATCTTTAAGAATATTATTCATTAATATGGTTACAGTAATGATTCATGGATTAATATATAATTTCATTCACTGACCGAACTAATTCAATTTGAAAAGTAAAATTTCAAGTCAATTACTCTTAATTAATTAGTTATATTAAATAATTAAGCTTCACATAAGGTTATCGATTGGTTCAACTGTTAATGAATCATTAATAAGCCTTTGTTCCCATTAGCATCTCTCCAACTACTCGAACTTGGTTTTATTAATTATGATATACTAATAGTAATATTAATATACTAACAATAATTAATAATTTTGCCCAAAGAATAATAATAATAAATAAATAAATAAAACAAAGATTGGCATGAATGGTAACCCACTCAAAACTTGAGTTTGAACATTTCGTTTGTGTTTCGAGATGCTTGTATGCAAGCATCAAAATATTATTAATTTTGAAAACAGGGGCAAGGCATCGTCCATAGTTTTCAACATAATTTTATAAATATTCTTGTTAATTAATATGTGAACCATATAAAAATATGCCAGTTGTCACCTTTATAGATTCTCATGGGAAGAACAAAGGACTGTCATAATCACACAAAAATAAAAAAAGTAACCCAAAAATAACAAAGACGCGTTATTGGATTTGAGACACATTTTTATAATATGCAGATCACATATTATAAACACACACACACACACACAAAGCTTCCCGCAAAGAAATGTTCATCAATCCATATTGTAATTTAATATTAGACAGACATACAAGTCATTAGGCTTTCTTACACACAAAAAATAGAAATATAGAAACCACCGGACAGTTAGTTCAATTGATAATTATTAGAAGTTATACTTAGAGCTTAGAATATGAGTCAATTAGGTTTATCAGCTACTTGTTTAAACCCAAATTTTAAGATTTAAGTTTTGAAAATTAAGGTGATTTTATATAAAAAGGTTTTTAAGTATGGTCTTTTTAAGCCCTGTAAAAATAGGTTCACGTTTGGGCTATCCATTTAAGCCTATATTTATTTTTACTCATAAAGATAAGATAATTTTTTGATTAAATTTAATTTGGGTTTTGAAATATATGATTAAACT